CCGCCCGCGACCATGGTCGGTCTCTATTCCTGCGAGACATGGGAAAAGTCGATGAAACACCTACCGATCGTGCATGGTTATCTTGATTTTCAGACAGCCGGGGGAAATGGTTTTCTTTGTATCGCTTCCGAATGGAATTATGCCGTGTAATTAATTACAGGTAGTGGTTAAACGTGAGAAAAAATATTCCTGCTGGGCAGACGTGTTTTTAATGTACAGTTCCGGATATTGCGGAGGAAACGAAAAAGACACTGCCAAGTACTGAATGAAATTCGTCGAAAAAATATTGAATTATTAATGATTTTGAGAAATAACGCATTTTTTTCTTGAGAAGGTTGAGAAAAATTGATGCTATGCAAATTTTGACTAAAATGGAGTAATTAAATGTTCATGTCAAAGCTACAACAATAACATTGATCAATTTTAAGTGAATTTAGGAAGCATACAATGGAATTTGATTTATAAGAATAATAATATTGATGAAAAATTCAAATATTTTTAAGTCTAATATAATAAATATTGTTAACAAACACGCACCTCTAAACACAGAAATAATGTGACTGAAAAACTGAGAAGGGCGTATTGCGCACTTCATTTGAAACAAGCTGTACCAAATATACTCTTTGTACATTGTATTATTCATCGTCAGCATTTAGTTGCAAAAAATCTGAATTAACGTTTGCATACATGGCTTTATTCAGGGCCGACGAGGGGGGCTGGCGAGGCAAATTTTCAGGACCCAGGCACAAGGAGGCCAGGCTACTTTAGGTGAGGGCGTTTTATTTTTTTAGTATTTCGCCACAAAAGGGAGGAGCAAATACAAGATCAGGACCTTTTTTTGTCAGAGATTTCACTAAAAAGGATCTAAGTTGTCTTTGCGTGAAGACTTTTTTTAGAACTTTTTAAGAAATCGAAATCTTACTTTTTCTTATAAAATTTTTCTGGGGCTCTACCTGGCTCTCGGCGGCCCTGGTTTCATTACGTTATTATAGGAATCTATAAGATTAGGAACAATTCATTCAACGACCGATTATTTGGTAAGCTTGTAGTGACAATGATGAAGATTACAATCGCTTACTGCTGCACACAGAAGTACGTTGGCTCTCTAAAGGTGTTTGTCTGAATCGTTTTTCAATCTAGTTGTCTCATCTCTTGACTTTCTTGAGTACACAGACAAAAATTTGTTAGAAAACATGATTCTATTAAAAAATTACACCGCTTGGGTTCTATTGCTTAGATAACTTCGTAGACGTTTCAAACAATTTCCCCTTATGCCTATTTCTTCGAGAGTTTTTAAAAGTAGGGTATGACTAACTGTGTCCACGGCTTTAGCTAAGTCATTAAATATACAAAGACAAGACTTTGCTTTTTCTAAGGCAATTTGGATTTTATTTGTTACAAATAAAATTGCATTTTCTGTGAAAGTTTTTTGTTTAAATTCAAATTGTCTTAGTGACACCAATTCAAATTTATTGACAAACGATACCATTTTTTTTTTAATAATTTTTCAAAGATTTTAGAAAAGTTAGGGACAAGTGAAATGGGACGATAGGTGGTAACTAAAGTTTATCTCCTTTTTTAAAGATAGGTAATACAATCGTTTTTTTATTGCTTTAGGCCATATGCCAGATTAAAAACATTTATTAGCTATGTTTTGTAGTGGGTTTGCTATATAATCTTTATTGTTTCGGTTCTGATTTCATCTATTTCTGTTCATTTTCAGTTTTTTAATCAAGAAATTAGAGACTTTATTTCTTTGACCTCCACTGTTGATAAGACTATTGAATTAGGAAGTCTGTTTACAGTAGTTTTGAAATTTGAATTTGCATTCATTTGTCCAGCGAGTATTTTTCCCATTTCCACAAATAGTTATAAATTCATTAACTAGGTACTTTCTTTCGTCGGAGATAAGTTCACCGTTTTCACTTTTTATTGATATAATATTTTTATTATTTATTTTTTTTGTATTTAAATATTGATTCATTAGAATATATTACAATTTTCTGTTCAAGCTTTAGTTTTAGCAATTTAGTTAGTTACTGAGTTTCTACAAGATTTATATTGACCTTTGATTATTTTGGATCTCTTTAAATATATCATTATTCATATTTATAGATTTTAAAACCGAATTTGTGATTCATGGTGCAAGTTTTGAAGTATTTCGTTTATATTTCTTTAATTTTCGTTAACTCATTTATGATTTCTGAAATGATTGTTAATAATTTAGTCATTGCAGTCTCGGCGTCTACTTTTGAATATATTACCCTCCAATCTACTTTCTCAATCAAACGTCTTTAGTTTGTTCTGATTCAAATATTTTATGTTGAGGTGTGCTGTTTTTATCAGTTTTGTCAAATTTGTATTAATCATTAGTTGTAATATGGTTGGTGAATGATGTGTAACTTTACTTTTTAAGACTAATGACTAGCATGACTTTAATTGGACATTAGGATTTCAAAAATATGTGATCAATACAATTTTTCTGCTGCGTTGTTGGTTCATTAATAGTACAAAAGTAGTTGAATGCATGTACAATATTGATATATTCAGCACTATATTTGTCAGTAGCAAATTGTTTATATTTATATTCCCCATAAAGAAATAAAAATCATTTGTTTTGTTATATTCTCGTATCTATGAGGCTGGCGACCTATATACAGCGCCATGTTCAATAATACGACATCTTAGGAACCTTATATTTTGTATTCTTTTTATTTTATAGTCAAAATCATAATTATCTATAACATACATTAATACCCCATCATTTTGATTAAAATCACTATCATTATATATAAGTAAGATCAAGTAGTTTCCATGTTTCAGTAAATATTATACAATCAAAAGATATGTCTATATAAAAGAACTTTAAATTCATTGACGTTTGCGTTTACGCTGCTTATATTGTGTATAATTTTAAAATTATTGCTATGGTTATTTATATTTAAAACTTGTTCATATTCATTTTCTGTGTATATAAGTTTTAATTGTATCAGTTTGAAACTCTTTAGTATATTTATCCATTAAAAAAAAAACAAATAAACTGTTTAAAGCATAAAAACACTCAAGATTAATAATTAAAATATAATAAAAAATAGCATATAAAGATGTATTATTTGTTTGTTCTTAAACCTGTTCGGGTTCTTTTTTTACTTCAAGATCGAGTTTGGAATACAATTACGGTGTTCTTACCTCCTTTACTCTCTTTGTATCTGTCTTTTCCTTTAAATCTTTTTCTTTTTGAAGAATCTGGTTTTCTGATATTGATACTGATATTTCTATTTTAACCAATTGTTTTTCTATCCACGGACCTTTTGATGATGTTGGGCTTGGAGTTGGCGGGGCACTATTTGGTTTTTTACTTATAGTTGTTTCTGCTTATAACAATTCTTTAATTGTATAAGGGGTATTATTTATGTAAAGTTTATTTTCCTGAATATAGCTTCCATTCAATGTGTTTTTCCTTTCTTTTTTAAGGTATTGCGTTAGTATTTTTTTTCCTGATGTTGTTGTTGTTGTTGTTGTTGTTGTTGTTGTTATTGTTGTTGTTGTTGTTGTGTCAGATTTGCAGTGAGAGTAAATAATGTAAAAACCTTAAAATAAGTTTCATTATGTATAGTATAAATTTAAAAGAGATATGAGTAATCTAATGCAATAATTTTACATTATTAAAATTGCCGCATTAATAATTTTATTTCTAGTCAAAAGCATACTAAAAACAAATCAAAAAGTAATCGCGTGAAGATAAAATTTTCACAGGATACAGCGAGATGATTAAATTTTGACTTGAAATCTTGAATTTAAAAAAACTTTTTATCTTGTTGCGATGAACTTTGAATAAATCAATTATAATAATCCAGTCTCTATCAAAAAAAAAAAGAAATAAAAAATATTTTTTTGCGGTATTGCAGCTTTGCGTGTAAACTTTGTTTCATTGTTTTCTTTTGAAATTGCTTTATATTATCACACGGTGAATTTGCAAAACAATTCTGTCGGTGTTTATTCACCACGAATATTTGCTGAATGCTTTTATTGCGTGGCCACATTTTCAGAAGGGGTAATGATTTTTCTACATAACCTGAGCAAACATATTGAACCTCTCTAAAACAAAAACATATTGAAAGCTGAATATCTAGCTACCAATTTTAACAATAAAAAGAAAAATCATTAATTTATGTTTTTATTGTGACTTTAACAATGTGTAGATATGTGGTTATTAAATATTTAGTAGCTCTGTACAAATTTTGGGCACGCTAACGCAAAGCGCATAAAAAATTAAGATACCTACATGAAAACCCTTCTAAAGTACTTTAATCCGTTTGACAGCAGATGACATTTACAGATAGCAAATAAAAATGAATATTTAATTGTATAATGCTCTATTTATTTTAGACCCTGAGGGATAGGTTTTTTAAAAGTGCAAATAAGTGAAATGTATGATATTAAAAAAATTATATTAATGCTAATTTTCAATCATTTTTGATTGCAGAATTTTCAGAAATAAATATTAATATGGAATGGTGAGAAATTTAATGAACAATAGAGACTATTTATTTCCTACTTGAAGTCTATGTCCTAATATAACCTGGTGATATATTTAGTACAAAAATGTTTGATTGATTTTTTGTATTTCTTTTCGCCATTTGATCAAAATTATGAAAATATATTTTTATAGTTGTTTTTATATTTATATTTTTTAATAAAATTATTTACTTTGTTTTTCCATTATATTTAACAATATTTTTCATTAAAACATCTAAATTTATGTTTAAGGCGTTTTTTCTAAACCACTCGTTGTTTTCCTTTAGATACAAATCGCCAAGAAAACTAATAATAATATTTTCAGCAAACGTTTTCTCTCAATTTTAATATCTCTATTTTGTGTTTGCTAATTTTTTAACATACATTTTATTTATCTAATCGTTAAAGCATCATTTTCTTTTATTTTTATTACACTTACACAGTTCTAACTCATAAAAAGTTCCTTTATTTGTATTTTGCAGTAGACCTCCATCGAAGATAGCTAAATGGTAAGAAACTATATAATAATTTATTTAAATTTGATTTTAATATTGTCCGAATGCGCATAATAAGGTAAAATGAAATATAATATTTTTAAGGAGTATCTGAGCATGCAATTTCATTCAATAGTAATAATAATAATCTTTTACATTATAACCAGAGCTGGGCAGTACTCGAGTAAAATGTACTCGAGTACTCAAAGTACTATGCGCTCGTGTATATTATAAAGATTCTAAAACCCTCTGACAATCTTCCCAAAATCTATCTGACCATTTCATTAATTTTTAAAATCTCACTACCATCGGCGTCACAAGTCTAAAGGAATTTTGAATAACCTAATGACGCCAACGATACAGGAGGGAAGGAGGAAAAACAAGAACATAATATGTCAAATAACGAAATCATGACATTATACGCGTGTAATATATGACTGTTCTATGAGTATTTTCTAGCTGTACCTCTGTCCCTACCTAATACCTTTAGTACTTTAAATAGAAAAGTTAGACGTACACGTTAATGGTAAGTGGAGATAAGTGATACTCTCGTTTTTGTTTGTTACTATTACTAATTACTATAAATCCGTCTTTCTAAACGACTATCTAGAATTATTTCAAATACTCGTACGCGTTACTCGATTTATTCACGAGTACTCCCTAAAATTTGCAAATATACTCATTTGGTTTGAGTATTATTCACATAAGTATTCATACTCAGATACTTATGAGTGCTTTGTAAAGCTACTCATTGTGAAGTACTCATGATTACTTTAACGCAGTTCTCTGGCCAGCTCTTTATAACTTATAAGGAAAACTGAATTAAAATTCATTGAATTGGATTATAAGGTACAAGACAAATTACTGCATTTATCTAATTTAAATATTCAATATTTAAATTAACTTTTTTACACTTACTTTTATTAAAAAAAAACTCATAATTTAAAGTGAACAGTGAGAAAATCAAGTATCTCAGGGATATATTGTGTACTGTAATTTATTTTAGAAATGCATTGAAGGTGCTTAAAAATATTAAATATGAAAAATATTAAATTTAAAAATAATAGATACAAGCAATATTATATGATATTAAAAATATAAGATAAAAAACAGCAGATACAAAAAATATTAAATATTATAAAAATTAGTGAGTTATAAAAAAAAACATTGAACATAAAATGAGTAAAATATAAATCTTAGAACATACAGTAAATAAAAACAATTTTGTTCATTAGGCAAAAATCAAGAAGATACAAACTTGAAAATAAATATACTTATATAGATTTTTTGAAATTTAAGACAGAAGAAAACAATTTTTCAAATTTTTCAGTTACTGGGTTGGATCTATTTTTTATTTGAGGTTTTATATCTCCCTTAAAAATGGAGAGAAGGGTGTTAAAGCAGGGGAAGGTTATTTAAAAAATTTATAATAAATTAATTTTGTCAACTCTCTAAGTGTATCTACATTTTTTGTTAAACTTTAATAAATAAAAAAATTACTTTAGCATGCCTATACAGATCTGCCAATAAGCATGTCAGAACTAAGGATTTCCTAATGCGTAGTAGATATATACTTAAACAATATTATCGAGAAAGTATTATTATAAATATAAAACAGATTATTTAATTTTTATGCTTAAGATTATTCCCAAAATCATACTAATAAAAAAAAATATTTTTCTACCATAAGGGAAAATATCAGGGAATTTCATGGCAAAAAGTATCTGAAATTTAATATTTTAATAAATGTGTCTAATTTGGGCATATATTTAACTAATCAAAGACCAAAAAGGTGAGAAGTTTGAAGATTGGCGTATAGAGATTCCTAAAAAAATAACTGGGTATTGAAATGTGAGCCATTTTCGACCAATCCAGTCATCATTAGAGGTCACTTTAATTTTCACAGAAGACATTTCTGAAAACACCTTTTCTTCTAAACAAGAAATATCAGACGTAACTTAATTTTTTAAGAAAGGAAGGTCAGAAGAAACTTTACTTTCTAAGGAAGTTATATAATTTTTTTATACAAAGTAGTTATTGACAGGTTGATACGCTTTGCTAACCCATCAGCTCTAGAAAATATGATGGAATGTCTAGCTGTCCAAACATTTAATGATGGTATTCGTGACCATAAAATGTACAAAACACTACGTCTAGCCCGTCACAAAACATGAGGCAGCTACGCAGGCTTCTGGTGGATATAGTAAAGTGATGACTGTAAAAGAATAAGAAGAGAAGAACTCGACCAATTTGTTAACATAATGAAGAACCTTACTGGCAAAAAAATTAATACGAACACTATCAGGTGCTGGAATTGCGGTGAACCGAGACCTGTATACAATTCGTGCAAACACCCTAGGCTCACAACAAACCAAGACAACGCGACTAAGGAAAACTAGAGCTAGTTGGCTTAGTGGAGACAGCTTCGACCGGGAACCGTTTCAAAGATTCTTTTTTAAACTGGTAGCCTCTTTAGGGTAGGCGACGTAATAAAGGTAGAAATTATGCACTGTTGGTGGATATTGGAGCAACCAGGACCATTGTACGACCAACAACCATAAATATCGCCAAGAGACTTCTACCAACAAGGTGAAAGTGTTAATATCCTTGGAGAAATTGGGAATTGGTACATAAAAGTTCACTCATACTATTATTGTTGCTGATATCGAATATGTTATACTAGGAATGAATGTAATAAACTTACATGGCTTCTATTTGTATTATAAGAACAGAGTGATCAAAGTTGAAGCCGAAGAGATAGTCCTTCATCTATATGAGGACAGTACCATACTAGTAGCTGTACCTGGTACTTCAATTTCAAGAAACTATGAAAGAGGGAACACCTTTCATGATAGAAGCTTGGAACCACAATGAAGAGGTTGGTTGAGGAATTCTGATCGAAAAGGGGTTGGACACCACTGCTAAAGATGCCAGTGACTGCTAAAGAAATGCAAGTGCGTCTCTTAAACGTTATTGATTCACTACGACTAATCCTAAGCGTATTACTTTAAATATCCTTTGATAATCAGACCAGTGAAGTTTTAAAAGTGCAAAAAAGGCAAAGAGATACTTAAAGGATTAGAGAATGACCGAATTGATCGAGAATGGCTTGCATTACATTAGTTTTGCAGTTTTCAGTTATGAGAATCATATAATTTTTATTTTCTACTTTGGTAGTTATTTGGAAATCCTTTAAAAATAAATAAATACAGGTATTTACCGATTTGCGACATAACAATTAAGGAGGGTAAAACTGGGGGTATTTTTGTTATAATATTTTAAAGACCATTCAAATTAAAGAATCAGTTATTCTTCGAAAAATATAGGCATTGATGGTAAAAATAGGAGTTTATTTTAATTTTATTAAATCTAGTATCTAAAACACAAAAAAGTAGCAGCTGTGACAACTGTTATTGCAATTTCTCTCTTATTGGTAAAATTTTTGATTAAAATCTCCTTAAAACAAAATTATTCTTAAAAAATAATTCTGGATGATTTTGTTGAATGAAATTTGCATAATGTAAAAGGAAACAACTAAATGTTTAAAAAAAAATTTCTCCTCGCGTGGTATTTGGAAAGATTATTTAACAATATAAGCAGGACTTTTACAGACAGCATTTTCCGTAAAATGTGAAGTCGAAAGTGTTTGATCAACCAAAATGATTAACAAACTTCATATTGACGTTTCGGGGAATTGTTTATATTGATTGGCGTGTGATAGAATAACAGAGAGTTGTCATTGGTTGATGGATTATAGTGTCAAATAATCATAGATATTTGATTTCCTTTACCGTTTCTGTTTACGTATTGTTTATTCCAATATTGACATTTATTTTGTTCTTCTATTGTCAATAGATTTGTTTTCGTGTTTACAAGATGCTACAAAAACAAGCTTACTAAATTACAGTTTATGATTAGGTACCCAGATTGTTTTCTAAAAATAAAGGAAAAATCATCACACTCGTACAGATGGTCAATGATAATTAAGGTTTAATATAAATAATGTAATCCACGCCCGCAAAATTGTAGACCAATAGCCAAAAATTAATAAATAAAACCGGATAACACCAAGCAATCAATATTTTTTACTTTAATATCAAAAGGAATTCAGATTGACGATATAATAACGGTAAAAAAGAATAACGTTTTTTTTCTTGTGGTTTATCAAAGTTCAACAACCTTCATTCTATTCTTATATAATAATCTTCCGTCTTCGACCTTGCGTAAGGTGTTTGATTGTGATCGGACCCGTCTACATATTCAATAATCTACATCGGGGACCCACTTCCTTTTCACCTTACATTCACGTCACAAAAGCCAAGGATAAGGAATCAGACCGAGATATGACGTCACCGGACACAACACAACCTTGAGACCGTTTTCTTACAACCACGTATGACGTCACTGCGTGTACTTGAGACGCGTGTCACGTGACGCTGCAACGGCAGATGTTTGATTAAGGGCCATTTGCATGATAAAGAGAATTAAGATTGTCGGCCGGTGTGCAAGTTCTACTAGTATTATACATTGTCGAGATCCTAGTAGCTTTCGATAAGAGGGGCGACTTTCTTTTGTTACGAGGAGGGTCAAAAAACGGGGCCCGTGACTGACACGCGCTGCGAGATTGTGTTTTGTAGGAAGAGAAGTTCGGATAAAAATGTAAACGAATTACAGCGGCGTGCAACCCTAAAAGTATGTCATGTTTATTTTTTTATTTAAGTACAGTAATAAATAAATATTAAAATTATTAAATTAAGTATGTTTAGGTTTAGGAATACCTAATTTTGTTCACAATATCAAAACATGAACTATTTTAGCACACCTAGAATCAAATTCTAAAAGCTACAATTAGTTCAGTCAAAATAGAATAGAAATGTTTCATTCTTTTTTTGTTTCTATATTTTCTTTCATTGTTCTCTGTTCTTGATTCTTTGCCGGATAAAATAGCAGCCAATATAAGAATAAATAGAACTGAAAGATGACCACATTCGAGCAGTTGGATATCCTTCCTTATC